AAAGCATAACATATCATAAGATCTGTTTTGTTTCTGTGGCTTCCCAAATACTTATCCAGCAATGACAACACATATATCAACCAGACCAGTTTCCCATAATGCAGAATATTATGGCTCCATAACTCTTTTTCTACAAATAAATCAAGAAGCCAAGTCAGACCAACTGCTGCAGATTCAGATTCAGCCACAAGTGTCACACATCCTGACAGTGCTGAGAAGAGTCATAGGAATGCAACCACTGCTTTTACAGGCTTCTTCTTGCAACTACTCAGGCAGAAACCGCAGCAGTCTCTGAGTTAGATGGTGTTCTAGCTGATCAGCAGACCATGCATGCATCAACAGTCTTTGTGATTTCAATTTTTGTGTAAGAACTCTTTTTGGCTTTGCTACTTGTCCCCCAAGGCACATTCTATAAAGTGAATATGATATTCATGCTGTCACTCCTTTTTCTTTCAGTCTGATTCAGCTGAGCAGGCCATACAGGATTTCTCATTTCATGTCTCCATTAACAATCTCAGTGGAACCATTAGCCTTAATACTTGCATCAGCATTAGTAACACACGGTCCCTACAGTTGTAACTTCTGTGCTGATCACCAAAATATTATCTTCATGTTTAAAAAACCTATCTGACTACAAAAAAAAGAGAGAGCTTTTGCATGACCTTTGTGAGTTATACTGTATCTGTCTGGAGAATGGTTTGAAATTGAAAAGTTTCTTAGCAATTTCGAGATCTTTGATTATAATAAAGGTCCTAGTACTTCCATATGGACTAAGATTTCCGTTGATGAAATATGACTGAGTGCTGGGAAAAGTTGGGAAATGGAGACACAGAATTGAGAATTTTAAGTGAAAAGCAATGTACACGTCAAGCCAGTAACAGATGACTGGTCAGCCTCAGAAATACAATTACCAAACATCCAATTAATATAAAATAATGTTTTCTACAAACTGAACTATAAAGACAAGAGAGGAAGGGGGAAGACTTCATAGGTTGGTGGGTACAAATATTATTTTATTTCTTACACCCATTTATTTAATATTTAAACAAAAATACCAGTCAAACAAAAGGGAGAGAAGCAAATGCACAGGCAGTAGAAGCAAAGACAGGTAACCTTGGTAAATCATAGAGATGAAATCAGGTTATGTAGGGATGGGTCAAAGAAAGTCAAGAAGAAGCTGGAACTGAACTTGTAAAGGCATGCAAAGAATAAAAAAATGGGCTTTTATACATATATTAACAAGGAAAGGAAGGCCAAAGAAGGTGTATCTCTATAAACAATGTTGGAAAACTGATAACAATGGATGAGGAGGAAGCTGAGGTACTCAACAGTTTTGCCTCAATCTTTAATGGCAACCTCTCTTCCTATATCTTTTAACTGGACAGACAGCAGGATGTGGACTGGAGCTAAAGCCCCTCCCACTGTAAGTAAAGATCAGGTTCACAATCTCCTGAAGAACATGAATGTACACAAGTCTATGAGACCCAGTGAGTTACATCCCCAGATATCCAAGGGACTTGGCTGATGTAGTTGCCAAGCCACGCTCTATGATATTTGAAAAGTCATGGCAATCAAGTTAAGTCCCAGGTGACTGGAAATAGGACAGCATTGAACCCACCCTTTAAAAGGTTAAGAGTTGATAGGTCAAGGAAGAGGCTGGGAGCTACAAACCTGTCAGACTCACCTCTGTGGCTGGGAAGATCACGGAACACATCCTGTGCTAGAAGCTATGCTAAGGCACATGGAGAATAGGGACATGGTTTGAGACAGTCAACATGGCTTCAACAAGGGCCAGCCCTGCCTGTCAAACCAAGTGGTCTTCTACAATGAAGTGTTATTTAATATCTTTCTCAATAAAGAGATCAAGTTCCCCCTTAGTAAATTTGCAGATGATACCAAGATAAGTGGAGTGGTTGACATATATGAAGGATGGGATCCAGAAGGACCTAGGCAAGCTGAAGAAGTGGGCCCATGGGAATCCCATGAGGTTTAACAAGACCAAGTACAAGGTGCTTGGATCAAGGCAACCCACGATGTAAAAACTGGCTGGGAATGAACAGATGAAGAGCAGCCCTGCCCAGAAGGACTTAGGGGTTCTGGCGGATGAGAGGCTGGACATGATCCAGCAATGTGTACTCACAGCCCAGAAAGTCAAACGTGCATCAAAGCAGCATGGCCAGCAGGGCAAAGGAAGTGACACTGCCCTGCTACTTTGCTCTAATGAAATCTCACCTAGAATACTGCATCCAGCTCTGGGGTCCTCAGCACAGAAAAGACATCAACCTCTTGGAACAAGTCCAGAGGAGGGGCACCAAGATGATCAAAGGAATGGAACACTTTTCCTGTGAGGAAAGACTAAGAGAAATGTGATTTTTCACCCTGGAAAAGAAAAGGCTTTGGGTGCCCTAATTGTGGCTTTCCAGTATTTGAAATGAGACTGCAAGAAAGGTGGAGAAAGACTTTTTTAAAATACTGAATGATGATAGGACAAGGGGAATTGTTTCAAACTGAAAGAGCAGGTTTAGATTAGATATTAGGAAGGAATTTTTAGGAAGAAATTCTTTACTGTGAGGGTGGTGAGGAACTGGAACAGGTTACCCAGCAAAGCCATGGACTCCATATCCCTGGAAGTGTTCAAGGCCAAGTTGGATGTGGCTTTGAGCAACCTGGTCTAGGGGAAGATATCCCTGCACAGAGCAGGGAGGTTGAAACTAGATGATTTTTAAGGTCCTATCCAACCCAAGCCATTCTATGATTCTATGACTATTTTGATAAAAGAACAAACTGGTTTTTTCTCCTTTATTTTCCAAGGAGATGTAGCCAGCTTACCTGGATTTCTAGATAAATCACACATTTGTAAACCTCTGACTTAATAGATGGACTAATTAGATACAAGGGACAAAAGCTTATATTTATGGCTACAAACAAGTATGTGGTGAAGAACATGTGTTCAATACAAAGGTCTTACTGAATTCATCTTAATCTTCTACACTATCATATTAATAGTGGCTCTGTAGTTAATTGTTTATTTAATATGTAACTGCAAATTCAAAACTTAAATTCAATTGCTGAATTGAAATAAAGAAGAAATGTGATTTTACATTAAGGAAAAAGTTCAATTCATCTTTGAATGTAGAGTCATTAATTTATTATAATTCAGTAAGTGCATATGAACTATTTAAATACCTTTTGATTGCCCACTTATATACATAACTTTGATTTCAAAGAACGTCTGGGTTTTCCAATAACAAGAAATGCAGAAAATATGGTTTAAAAAGTAAAGAAGCCTCAGTGGGATCAAAGCATTAACCGTTCTCTGTCTCTCTTCAATCACTACTAATCGTTTGAGATGCTGCAGTTCACAGAACAAATCATAATTCCCTGCTCTGGGAAGCATTGCCTGTATGTTGCAAAGTTTAAAAACAAGTCTCAGAAAATAAGACTGTTTTATTACACCTTCAGTGAATAATTGCCCAGAAGGTCCAAAACACAGTAAATTTTTTTAAATAAAAATGTGATTCTTTCAGCTATGATCCAGAGTGAGAAGAAATAATTTTCAATCTTTGGAGTGCTGCATTAAGTTTCTGACTGCAAAAGTGGAAAAATTGGTCAGGCTTAGCATAGGATAAACTCTGAATTTGCAGAACATGAAACAAATTGCTTTCATTGCTGTATCTTTAAAAATTTGGTTAAATCCAGAAAAAAAATAGAACTTTGTTTGGGCTCAGATACAGCATAGCAGAAAATTGTGTCAGCTATGTAAAAATCTGTCAACCTGGGCATCTTAACATACCTAACACATTTTTAATTTATGGAAGTAGGAACCAAAGCATTCAGGTTTATCATGTCATAAGGTGTACTGCTTTTCTTTACAGATTATTCACAAAGTGCAAGAAATCTGATGCCCAGACCTCAGAATGTTACACCTAAATTGCTGTTCCAAAGTAATATTGTTATTGTGATATTTTGGAGAAAATGTAATCCTTGTTCCAAAAAATAAAGCTGCTTTCAAAATACACTATCCTAATATTTCATCACAGATATTTTTTTTTCCTAGAAAAACCTAGTTTTACCACAGAGTATATTATTTACTGCAGAATTTAATCTAAGATCAGTTTAAAAGGAGAAAAGGTGTTTGTCCATTATGTTAGCTATTCATGCGTTTGAACACTAGTTAAATAGCCAGATTCACTTATTTTAAGTTACCAGAGGAAAAGGTATGTGGGAAGCAAACAGAACACTCTGGTTATGTTAATCTTCTATATAGTAATGCAGAGAACACTGACAATTTCCAAAAAGATACAGTTCCTCTTAGTGTTCAAAAAGTCATAATCAGATCATTTGAACTCAGTAAAGTTCAAAGGTAAAAAATGGCATGTCTGTATAATCACAAACATCAAGAAATCAAATAATTGTGTGGCAAGGACAGATTGTTTTCACCTCTGGGATGTGTTGAAGGCAATATCCAGCTGGAAGAACTCAAATGAGGTAGGATAAACAAACAGCTTCTGAACAGCTCTGTTTGGAATCTGTTCCTGTGATGCAGTTTAATTTACATAGGTTTGAAAATCAAAATAGCCAATATCATCAGTACATCATTATTTGTTATTTAATGCCTGTCTTTATGTGCTCACATACTTAAAGAAGAATTTCGAGGTCCAAACTTTGTGGAAACATCCTGGTTGATTAGTTCTTACTTCATCAATGGTTGTTTCTTCCCAAAAAGGAAGAACATCCTTATCATTCAAATATCAATTGCTTTTTAATGTTGCTTCTTTACACAATCATGCTCAGTGTCATACTTCTGCTGAATGATCTTTTGACGCTGCTTCCTGTTCAACATCTCTAGTTAGACAGAATGACAGAACTTCTGAGGGCCTCAGTCTCACCCAAAGATATGGATTCAGCTGCTTAGACCAAATGTCAACTGTTGCTTCAAGCTACTATTTCTGCCAATCCTTGTGCCTGGTATTTATTTTTCTTTTGTGTTTACCCTACAGGGCTCTATGAAAACTATCCAACCAATGCAGAACCAGAATGCTGTGATGTCAGATGGGGACTATTATCAGATCATCAACCCAAAGGGACTATAAAAACAAGCGGCTCAACAATGTGTCACAGGACATCGCTCACAGTTTCATCAGCATCAAGACTGTGTAACAGCAGACTTAAACTGTGTGTTCTTGTATTAATTCTCTTACATACAGTACTTACAGTCTCAGCAGCACAGAACTCAACAGGACTGGGCTTTGGAAGCATAACAACTTTGGAAGATAATTCAACCAATGAAGAATAAAAGAAAGGATTCATCTTACATGACAGAAACACAACAGGCCCAAATTACTACAGTCAAAAATAGCAAGGACTGAGTGCTTTACCCTCAGAGCTCTTCTTGAATGACCTTTTGGGTAAAATGAAAAGAATGGGCCTCTACCCAAACAACAAGGACACACAAATACAGCTTTTTATTGACTAAAAGGCTGTTTGGTGACTTAACTTTCTCACACCATTTTATACACTGTGTTTTAATGTTTGGAGTTTCTTTTTTTTGTTTGTTTGGTTTTTTGCACTTGTTAATACAGGATTTTATTTTTGGGACAGTTTCTCAAAGCTAAATTAAGTCTTTTCTCTGTCGATATATTTCTAGTCATTGTGTGTGTTCATCTGATAGTTCTGTCTTTTATGTCCTGTCAGTTTCTATTAGAGGAATGACTGCTATGGTTTCATGACAAAAAAAAAAAAAAAAAAAAAAAAAA